ATGTGCCTTCCACTCAGTATGTAGGAGCTGTGAGAGGCTAGAACATGCCCAATACAATTGGAATCTTCGGAGAATTTAGCTGCCAAACTTTAACAAGTCTGTATTGAGCATGGGCTAACCAAGATTTTCAGAGGCTCGTAACTTGACCAAATTAGATCAAATTTTCATGAACATGGTAAAACACAATTCTGACAGCAGGGCTATTCCCCTGCCAAATTTCAAGTCCCTGCTCCAAAGCATGGAGGCACTAGAGCATCTCAGTTAAACATCTGTAAGAATATTTGAGAACACTTCAATCTCCCTGGACACTCAATAACAGACTTAAAAGTGGCAATTCTTCAACAAAAAAACTCCAAAAACAGATTCCAATGAGAAACTGCAGAATTGGAATTAATTTGCAAACTGACACCATCAAATTAGGCCTGAATAAAGACTGGGAGTGGATGGGTCACTATAAAAACTAATTTTCCCCTGCTGATACTCAGACCTTCTTGTCAACTGTTTGAAATGAGCCACCTTGGTTACATTGGCCACATTAGAATTCACCCCTTCTTGTCAACTGTTGAGAATAGCCCACTTCCACCTTAATTGAATTGGCTCGTTAGCACTGCCCCCCCCCCCCGTAAGGCAACTCCCATCTTTTCGTTGCTGTGTATTTATACCTGCCTCTGTATTGTTCACTCCATGCAGCTGATGAAGTAGGTTTTAGCCCACGAAAGCTTATGCCCAAATAAATTTCTTAGTCTCTAAGGTGCCACAAGGACTCCTCATTTTTGCTGATGCAGACTAACATGGCTACCACTTTGGGGGAAAAAACCATGTTTCCCTAACCTTGTTCTCAAAAAGAGCTGAACCATTTTAGCTGAAACTTTCAAAAAAAAAAAAATCAGCATGAGGCAGACACAATGTGAGAAATTTCACCCCAAATGGTTATATTTAGTGTGATATAGTTTTAAATTCTCCATTTTCTCTAACCTCTCTGACAGTGCCTTAGTATAAGTGCAAATGCTGTGTAAAATGTCCTACTTATTTGGAAATCGATATGGATTTCATTGATGAGTTAAGGATAATCTTCCAGCCTGAATTGCTGGCTTATTTCTATTTAAGGTACCTAGTTTTTTATATGTTACTTGTTTCTTGTGGAGGTGGGAACTCTGTGCATGACCTTCTCCAGACCTGCTGTTAACGATGCTCTATTAATTATTTGCCAGTGATGCAGGCAGCAGCTGCTCCCCATGGAAGTCAAAGGCATCACCTCTGTAATAACCTTGCCTACATTTGTCCAGACAGAAGTCCTAACCCTAGGTCTGCTTCATGGTTCAGTCCAGTTCCAGGGTTGTATTTAGTTTAGCTGAGGCAACGTACCATGCTCTAAGTTATTGAGAGTTGTGTAGTGGCTTCCTGTCCAAACCTAGCAATCAGAGCTGTTTTCTGACTGAAAAGCTCTTTCTGTGCTGATCAGAGAGGTTTTCACTTTGCCCTTTCTTTTGCAGTGATTATGCTTCCCTTGTCTCTTGTTCCTCACTCTCCGCCTGAGACAGACACCACAGTGCCTTTTACTGATGCACACGTTTTGAGTGATTTTAAGCACCTTTATGTTGTATGCAAGTCAATGCTCTAAATCCATTTTAGCACTCGCTAATTTGGCAATAATGGTAGTCTCCAGAATGGCAATTAATGAACAAAAGAAGGTTGCACTTCGTGACCTAGCAACCAGGTTTCCCTTAAACTGGGTTTCTGGCTTTTCATTTTTTTTTTTAACCTCATGTCAAAGTCCCAGGAAATGGCAGTGTAAATTGCTTTGTGTAAACTATTATGATGATTCGACATTTGGTGCCAATGCTTAGCTTTTCCCATTTCTTTTTAAGATTTCACTAATTGCATTTTTTTTATTTCTCAGCTCTTATTTTTTACAAAAAAAAAGGACATTTAAAATTACTGAGACTTTTTCGAGAATTGCTGAAATAACAGCGTAGTATCAATATTTCTGGTTTTCTTGTGATCCTAGAATCTCTTCAATAGGGACAGTCAGTGAAATTGTATGTGATAGTCTCTTGTTCAGCTACTTGTGGTGGTAACACCTATCGACACGGTTTTATATATTGTGCCTTTTAATATGGCTTACTCTGAAGCCTTGGAGTACATAAGCTGCTTTTATTTTCTACCTTTATTGGTTCTATTTCCTGGCTTGTCGTATACAAATTAAGTAAAAACCAAAATACTATTTCAAATTGAGTCATATCTATGCATTTCCTACATTTCCCTCCGGATTAGTGTATCTCAGAACTCTCACTTTCTTTTTAGCTTTCCCGCCTCTTGAAATCTGTTTTTGTAAGTGAAAAATCTTGGTGAATTGCAGTGTGGCACAGCAATTATATTAACAGTAGCCTCCCCCAAAAATTCAGTCAGCCGTGAGATGGATGTGTTCATAGACAGAAGATATCTACTCAGAATCTACTTGCTTTCTCCTGAAAAGGAAAGAGGCAGCATCCCTGAGCAAATAAGTTTATATTTTGTTTGTTTTGCTAGAAATGTTTATGCTTTGTTCCTGAAAACCATTATGAGTGTATTGATAGCATAGCACAGCGTTCAGCTTATGTGACTTGAAGTGAAGGCTTTGGATAAAGACCTTGTAGGAGATCTGGAGATCTATTCTCACAAGAAATTTGTTTGCAAATGTCTACCACCCATGCAATCTGAGCCATTCCAAAAGCCAAACGTTTGTTTTTCATCAATATTTCTGTGAGCTCTAAGGATACGTCATCTCTAACAGCAATGTCCTGAGTTGGGGTGATTGCTGTCGGCAGGGCTGGCTCCAGGAACCAGCGCAGGAAGCAGGTGCTTGGGGCGGCCAATGGAAAGGGGCGGCACGTCCGGGTCTTCAGTGGCAATTCGGCGGTGGGTCCCTCGGTCCCTCTCGGAGGGAGGGACCGGTCGCCGAATTGCCGCCGAAGAATGAAGCGGTGCGGTAGAGCTGCCGCCGATCGCGGCTTTTTTTTTTTTTCTTCTTCTTCTTCTTCGCCTCTTGGGGCGTCAAAAAAGCTGGAGCTGGCCCTGGTTGTCGGTACAGGAATCATTGCAACACTCACCTTAAGTTTGGTCAGAGGGGAGCTCCAGAACACCACTAGTAAAATGTCTCCTCTGTAAAGAGACAAATCTTAGCTGGAATCTCTATAGAACTTTGTTTATCTTGATGTTATTGTTAAAATTAATTCCATTGATTGCATTGTATTTTAAAGCCACTGAGTAATGGATGTGTACAGTTAAACATGTATAATTGTTAGGGCTGTCAATTAAACGCAGTTAACTCGCGCGATTAACTCAAAAAAATTAATCACGATTAATCGCAGTTTTAATCGCACTGTTAGATAATAGAATCCCAATTGAAATTTACTAAATATTTTTGGATGTTTTTCAACATTTTCAAATATATTGATTTCAATTACAACACAAAATACAAAGTATACAGTGCTCACTTCATTTTTTATTACAAATATATGCACTGTAAAAATGATAGACAAAATAAATAGTATTTTTCAATTCACCTCATACAAGTACCATAGTGCAATCTCTTTATCGTGAAAGTGTAACTTACAAATGTAGATATTTCTTTTGTTACATAACTGCACTCAAAAACAAAACAGTGTAAAACTTTAGAGCCTACAAGTCTACTCAGTCCTACTTCTTGTTCAGCCAATTGCTAAGACAAACAAGTTCGTTTACATTTACGGGAGATAATGCTGCCCGCCTCTTGTTTACAGTGTCACCTGAAAGTGAGAACAGGTGTTCGCATGGCACTTTTGTAGCTGGCATTGGAAGGTATTTACATGCCAGATATGCTAAACATTCGTATGCCCCTTCATGCTTTGGCCACCATTCTAGAGGACATGCTTCCATGCGGATGTCGCTCGTTTAAAAAAAAGAATGCTTTAATTCAATTTGTGACTGAACTCCTTGTGGGAGAATTGTATACCTCCTTCTCTGTTTTACCCGTATTCTGCCATATATTTCATGTTATAGCAGTCTCGGATGATGATCCAGCACGTTGTTCATTTTAAGAACACTTTCACTGCAGATTTGACAAAACGCAAAGAAGGTACGAATGTGAGATTTCTAAGGATAGATACAGTACTTGACCCAAGGTTTAAGAATCTGAAGTGCCTTCCAAAATCTGAGAGGGACGAGATGTGGAGCATGCTTTCAGATATCTTAAAAGAGCAAGACTCGGATGCAGAAACTATAGAACCTGAACCACCAAAAAGGAAAATCAGTCTTCTGCTGGTGGCATCTGACTCAGATGATGAAAATAAACATGAATTGGTCCGCACTGTTTTGAATCATTATTGAGCAGAACCTGTCATCAGCATGAACTAATGTCCTCTAGAATGGTGATTGAAGCATGAAGAGACTTATGAATCTTTAGCGCATATGGCATGTAAATATCTTGTGAACACCGGCTATGACAGTCCCATGCGACACCTATTCTCACTTTCAGGTGACATTGTAAACAAGAAGCAGGCAGTATTATCTCATGAAAATGTAAACAAACTTCTTTGTCTGAGCAATTGGCTGAACAAGAAGTAGGACTGAGTGGACTTGTAGGCTCTAAAGTTTTACAGTGTTTTATTTTTGAATTAAGGCTTTTTTGTACATAATTGTACATTAGTAAGTTCAACTTTCATGATAAAGAGATTGCAGTACAGTACTTGTAATGGGGGAATTGAAAAATACTATTTCTTTTGTTTTCAAAAATAAATATAAAGTGAGCACTGTACATTTTGTATTCTGTGTTGTAATTAAAATCAATATATTTAAAAATATAGAAAACATCCAAAAATATTTAAATAAATGGTATTCTATTATTGCTTAACAGTGCGATTAATTAATTTTTTAATCACACAATTAATTGTGATTACTTTTTTTAATTGCTTGACTGCCCTAATTGTATTACTTTTATTTCTATGTACTTTAAATGTAAACATTAAGTTTTCCTTCCCCAGAATCTCCTGGCAAAGATTTTGGTCCCACTCTGGGCTTAAAAAAGTCCAGCTCCCTGGAGAGCTTGCAGACGGCTGTGGCTGAAGTCAGGAAGAATGAACTTCCTTTCCACAGACCCAGGCCTCACATGGTCCGTGGTCGGGGCTGTAACGAGAGCTTCAGAGCTGCCATTGACAAATCTTATGATGGACCTGAAGATGCAGAAGAGGGTATGCTGTTTCATGTACTTATTTGGGAAACTTTCACCAGTTAGTACAGACTAAGGCTCCATTCAGCAAAGCATTCAAAGGAGGTGCTTAAATCCAGTTGAAGGCATTGTGCATAAGTGTTCTGCTGAATTAGGGCCAAATTACTGTGTATGCTGTCCTAGGGCCTGAGCCAACTTCCACTGAAGTCTCGGCAGTGAGTCTCATCCTTTTCCTTTGCAGCTCCCTTTTCCATACGGAGACCACACCAGAACCCCCTCCCGTCTAGCAGGAGCCCTGTTTAGCAATACAGGAAGGACAGAGTAGCCACAACACCTTGACCCCACTTGTTCATGACACCTATGGGGGTCACAATCCCCAGACTGGGAACCCCCTGCTTTACAGCATGAACTGCATCATTATGTTCAGTTCTTGAGTTCCTAAAGTGAAACTACCCTAGCTCTCCTCTAAACAGTCAGAGAAATTGTCTTGCTGTTCCTTTTAGAGACATCAGAAATAGCCTGAGAGCAAGGAGTGACTGCATTAGTTTTGTACAGTAGTTAGGATATGCAGGTTCTTAGAACCTCTTGTTGAAATAAGCTCTCGCTGTTTGTGTCCCAGCTTGTGGGCTTTCTTGACTTGATGGAAGTTAACAAGCCAGATTTCAAAAAGAAGAATGTTTTACCACATGTCAAGATTTTCATACCAGAAATAATAACTAGAAAATAAGTAACTATAATAATTCTGTGCTTAATTGACAATAGAGCCCTGCTTGAATTAACTAGATATATGTTTAGTCTGCTTTTTTAAATGATACGATTACATGAACGTGCATTGTGAACTATTGCAGCACTTTATTCTACACTGATTCCATATTGCTCGTTTGCATTTTCCTGATCATAAATGGCCCATAACCATTTTTACTGATTCTCTTTCTGTCTCTGCAGATGGTCTGTCTGATAAGAGCTCTCTCTCTGCTCAAGAAACTCAGAATTTTGAATCAGCCCCGCAAGGGAATCCTGAACTAGAAGATGTAGAAACCAAGGCAAAGAAAGACAAAAAAAATAAAGAGAAGGAGAAGAAAAAAGGAAAGAGCAAAGCTAAAGTCAAAGAGAAGAAAAGGAAGGAAGAAAATGAAGATCCAGAGAAGAAAACGAAGAAGAAGGGTTTTGGTGCCATGTTGAGGTATGGTTCTTGTGCTTAAAACATATGCACACACGCACACATTTTCCTGAAGAAGCTCATGAAAATATTCTGTGAAATCACTGATGATCTCAACAAGCAGACAAAAATGTTTGTCAGTTAAAAAAAAAGCACTATCGATTTTTATACCAAACCATTAGCTAAGGAAAAAGACCTTTAGCTGGCAAAACTTTTTGTGCCCTTGGAATTCATGTGCATTTGGTAGGAAAACTGTATGAGGCTTGAGCATAAAGAAAATATAAGGGAAAAATGCATTTGGGGGGAATGTTTGCTATTTCCAGGTATTACATTAAACTTTTGGACACTACTGGTATATTCTGGCCTGTAGGCCAACCTAGTATGGAACAAAACCTTGGTGCATAGTTTAAATGGAAGTGTTTTGCTGTAACCTCAGAAATTCTACTACAAAGATGCCCCACAGATCATGCTTTTCAAAATATAAAGATTGGAACATACAAACTAGAGCTTTTGTTTCCCCTTGATGTCCTTGATACACAGCATAAGGAGTTTGTTTCCAAAGTGTTATGTGCAAGGACTTCGCTGTTTTTCTTCCACATAATGTCAATACAACCCTATTAAATTGGTGCACACCATTTAGAAATTTTCCACGTGTTTATGGACTGCCAGGGTATGATTGTCCAAACTATACGTGCACAAGTGTATACTTAATTTGCACATACAGTTACCACAATGATTAATGAGAATAAGATAGCTGTCCATAAATGCACAGATATGCATACTATTTGAATAATTATACATGCTAACTAAGTGTGCAATTTGCACACACATTTGTGTTCATAGAGTTTAAAGAAATCTGTCTTAAAATGAATGTCAGGTTTTTTTTAATTAATTATAATAGTGAGCTCTTCAACAGCTCTTCTCTTTGTGTATCTTTAGTCTCATATCTGCTTTTGTGCTCCCGTTAACCCTGTAGAGCTAATAAAGCTGTGAGAATGGAAACTGGATTGCACGCTAATTTGGCAAAAATATAATTATTCTGGCTCATGCATCACCAACAGATCTGTTGACTAAGATCCACATTCAAAATCTTTATTACTGGTGAAGATGTATGCTTGATTTCAGATCCAAGATCGAGTTTGTTCGGTTGGCAGTGTTATTGATAAACAAGAAACATGGAACCAAAGGACTCCAGTACTACTGATTCACTTTTTAGAGTATAACTTCACTTCAAGCAAAAGTAATACTGTTTTTCTAGAGAGAGATAACAACATGAAATCTGCATGTTTCATATTTTGACTATATGCATATATTATTCATCTGAACTTTTCCCACAGTTAGATTTAATTTTGATAGGGAGTCTTATCAACTGATGTTTTTCATTATTACTGTTTATTATATATCCATCAAGCATGACAAAGGGACAGGACAAAGATGGAATTCCTGCCTCAAATTGTTTACAGTCTAAATTAAGACACATGGAAAATGGAGGTGACAAGATTAGATGGAACAGAAGAAGGGAAGTTTGTAGGCAAGGACAATATAATTGTGTACTCACTTTGGGAAGTTTGTAGATGCTGCTAAAGAGTAACTAAGGGTTTTCTTTTTGTTTTTCATTTGTTTTGTGTTTTTAAAACATGATTATAATTTATATCTGTTTTAATGTTAGGGGGCTATCACTTAAAAGCTTTCTTGAAGAGTGGATTTTGAGAAGGGACTTGGAGGAGGAGCAGGTGGAGGCATGATGGGTGGGGTCAGGAAGGATGTCCCAGCCATAGAGGGGAGCATGAAACAAGGAATGGAGATGAGCAATTTGGGCTGAGCAACGAGGGCATTTGAGGAAATAAGAGTAGGATTTAGTAAAGCACCTACGTGACTCAGAACACGTCTTATTGACTCTCAAATCAAACCTAAATGGGGGAGGGGCAAATGCAGACAGGTATTGTGTGGGGGGAGGCAATTGTGGATGGCCTTAAAAGCATGAACAAGGAGCTTTGGGTCACAAGTGAAGGAATTTTAGAAGGAGACTGAGTATTGTGATAGCATTAGGTATCAGAGGTGATATTCACAGCAAAGTTTTGGATTGATTAGAGTGAGGAGAGTGTCAGGAGGGTCAGAAAGAAGGGGATTGAAGTAATAAAGGTTCAGGATGATCAAGGATTTTAGCAGCAGGAATGTAAAGAAAGAGGCAGATTTTTAAGATGTTACAGAGGTGAAACTGGCATGATTTAGTGGTAGAACATCTGTAGGGTAGAGAGAGAAGATGAAGATGACACAAAGGTGGTGAGTGCTACGTGGAGGATGGCGGGTAATAGTTAATATTTATAGCGAAAGAAGTGGTGGGAAGTTTTTTTTTTGTTTTGTTTTGTTTTTTTTTAATAAAGAAAGTCGAGTTCAGTTTTTGACATGTTGAATTCCTGCTGGCAGCAGGACATGTCATAGGAGTTATCAGAAATACGAGTGCAAACAAGGAAGAGAAAGTTTGGATGGAGAAAGAAACCTGGGAGTCTGCGTTGTAGAGATGGTAGTTCTAGTTACGAGGTTGCCCCGAAAAAGTGTAGTGTGAGAGGAGGATGAGGGCAAAGGATGTAACCCTGTGGTAGACTGACAGAGGAAGGGAGGAAGTGCCAACAGAGGAGACACTGAAGGAGCAGCTAGAAGAAGTAGTAGGAGAACTGGCAAAGCAGAATTGTTGAAACCAAGCAAGGAAGAGGTTTTAAGAAGGGTGGTTCTGCCATGTTGATGGTCCCAGATCTAGGAAGATAACAATGGAGAAGCAGCCTTGAGATTTGGTCAGGAAGAGATCATTGTTAACCATGACACAGGTCGTTTCAGTGGACTAGGAGGAAGCTAGACTGTAAAGAGAGAGATAATGATGAGCTGTTCAAGGCACAAATTAATCCATTACCTACTAGGAAAGTTACACTAGGCCGGAGTGGGCCAACTTTTTGGCCCAAGGGCCACATCGGGGTTGTGAACCAGTATGGAGGGCTGGGTAGGGAAGGCTGTGCCTCCCCAAACAGCCTGGCCTCCGCCCCCTCCCACTTCCCGCCCCCTGACTGCCCCCCTCAGAGCCTCCAACCCATCCAACCACCCCCTCCCGGGACCCCAACCCCTATCTGCCCCCCGGAACCCTCCCCATCCAACCTCTGTGCTCCTTGTCCCCTGACAGCCCCCTCCCAGGACCGCCCCCTATCTAACCCCTCCCCCCGCTCCCTGTTCCCTGACTGCCCCGAGCCCTATCCACACCCTCGCCCCCTGACAGGCCTCCCCCCCGGGACTCCCACGCCTATCCAACCCCCCCCCCCGCCGTTCTCCGTCCCCTGACTGCCCCCCCCAGAACCTCCACCCCATCCAACTGCACCCTGTCACCTGACCGCCCCCCTGGGACTCCCCGCCTCTAACCGCCCCCCCCAGAACCCCTTATCCAACCCCACCACTCCCCGCCCCCTTACCATGCCACTCAGAGTGGCAGGACTGGCTTATTAGAAAGCCTGGGAGGTGGGCAGGCGCAAGCGACAGGTCAGAGCGCTCCCCATGCGGCTGCGCGGCTGCGGGGGTGGAGGGACAGCAGGGGAGGGGCCAGGGACTAGCCTCCCCAGCTGGGAGCTCAGGGGCCGGGTAGGACCGTCTCGCCGGCCAGATGTGGCCCACGGGCCGTAGTTTGCTCACCTCTGCACTAGACTGTGGTGGATATTTTTATGCACTACATGCATACTTACTATGCTGTATATAGCGATTGCATATTTTTCATATCTGTAATATGTCTATGTGAGCTTGCTTGTTTCGCTTGTCAACACCAATGCAGTTTAATGTATTAAAACCACCCCTAACCTTTGTCTTCAGTACGAAAAAAGTAACTGCTGCTATAGCCTTTCTCAGATGAGATTTCTGAACATATTGGAATCGCTGCTGAACACTTTCCTCTCCCCCCCCCCCTTTTAACAACAGAAAATATCAAAGCTGTTACCAGTTGCTAACAGATTTCACTTAGTTCCTCATCTGTTGCTCAGCTGCTATTTACTTGTGGATTGTGAATTTTTTTTTTTTAATTAAAAAAATAATTGCTTTCCTGCTAAATTTCTCATGGATTGAAGTTTTATTTAGGTGGATATGATTCAGGGAGACCATCAAGCAAGCATGCTTGTATTGTTCTAATCACTGTTTAAAAACTCAGTGTTATGTTTTACACAGTTAAACATGGACTGTCAGCTTCCACGTTTTCTGGGATTACCCCTTTTGGCCAGGTGTGAGATTTTTAAACATAGCTGAAGCTGGTTCTCAATTTGACAGTTTTTTAAAATCTATAATAGCGTTTGACAGTGGTTAGTTGCAGGACACTTCATTGTACGATGTTTGATGTTCTACTTCTTGGTAGTAAGGGCTAAGTATTGTGGGTAGTGATGTATTTATGACCTCCCTCAATATTGGCCCATATATGTACTATCCAAAGAATAACAGACATCTACTTGCGTAAGATGTTTGCATTTAGCATTAGCTCACATAGCATCATTATTTATTTTACCGTACTCTGTTACATTAGCTCATAATGACTTATTAAGTGACCCAACACAAGACAACATAATGAAAGTTATTTGATGTTGTATATCAGGTAATAATTACTGTATATTAAATATTGTCATTAATGGAGCTGTTATTGAATTTATGCCATAACGTCAGGAAAAGCCAATGTCTAGCACCAAGCAATTACTCTTTTTGAATATACCAAAATATTCTCATTCAGTTACACTCTAAACTTTTATGTATTCCATAGAAACCCGTAACAGCAGCGAGACTAGACAGTATCCCATTAAGTTCTCAGTTCAGCCCTTTCTTCCTGCACTAATCATTGTTTCAGGCCATGGCAAGGTTTGGGGAGGCGTGCTCTTCCTCAAGTCAACTCTCTTCATCTTGAAGGATTCTTCATTTGCATGAGAAACTGTGTGCTGTAATGACATACTTTATGCTTTAAATAAGGCATTGTGTCATTCATTGTTTCAGAATTGCATCTAAGCCCTTTCTAA